TTTCATGATCCTTTCTAGACTTTGCTTGCTAACTATGTGACAGCTTCCTCGTCGAGTCTCCTGTTTTGTATCTAGCCTTCTTAAAAACTATTTTAGCTGCTTTATTCAGGACTTTCGGTCTTCTCCTTCGTTTATTGCCTTCAAAAGCTTCATTTCTCCATGATCATTTAATCACCCAACATTCGGATTTTCATAGTTTTTTAGCAGTTTCTTCAACAGATAAGCCAATAAATCGAAGTATACATGCTTATGCGCTCACGTAGCGGAACGTTTTTCCGTTAAGGGGGTTAATCTTTCGTGATATTCACAAAAAACAAGGAAAGAGTGCCCGCAAATCAGGTTATAAAATACAAAAAATATGTGGCTGGAAGATATACTCGCGCACGCGCACCTTTGGCGCGGAAGCACACAAATCGAATATTCGAGTAAAGAGATAGCACAACAAGGATGAAAATAGTGAATTAGTTTGAAAGGCATAACTTTTGTTTAAATGATTTGCTTACCAAGTCCAATCGAACTGAAATACAGACTTATAACGTAGAGGAACGAACTTTTGGGCCACCCTGTATTTTTCCCTTTTACAATATTATTTCAAATTCTGATTACATCTCACTGCTACAACGTTGACACAAGGTGCCATCGCAAAATTGTCCCTTAACGCAGTCAGCCATTTCAGTCACTGCATGGTTTTACTCCAAAGACTCGTCTTTCTCGGCCCAGACTTTCTCAATCTCATCCCAGGTTTCCTCCGACAAATCTGTTGAGTACATTGAGAAAGAAAACTTAAAAGACATTTCAATAACTGAAAATTATTGCTACAGTCTCAAAATCAAACAAAGCTCAACCCAGCGAAAATTGTTAGCAACTGTAGCGAAAACTTGAGCAAACAATCTACAACAAAATTGACATACTTAAACCTGGCCATAAAAAGTTATGGTGAAAAAAACGTTGGCTTAATTAATTGTACATCCAAAAGAAATACATGCAAAACGCTTTTAAAGGCTCTTTTTCTATACCCTCACCTTTCCTATGCTAACATTTTAAATGGCTCGCTGGAGGTGATCGTATTTGTTACTTAATTCCCTACATGTCATGGTCTTAATCCGACCTTTGATGACATGGTCCTAATCTTTCTTATAATCAATGTCATCTACAATATTTTTATTACCAACAATCGAAATCATAATTTTTATCGCGTTAATGACTTTGATTAGTTTTCAGTAACTGGTTGCTATTATTATCATGATCATAATCATTCTATTAATTAACCTACATCATTCCATAGCACAAGAGCTAAAGCATTGCAGAGAAAAACACTGTAATTTTGTCGTGAAGGGGACTTCTAAGCCGGTCGATTTTTCATTGAATCAACCATATTGGCAGAGCAGTTAGCACAAGCTGTATTTGGAAAAAACCTCGTTTTCATTTTGGTGACCAGAAGTCCAGAAGAGTTTCTCGTGTCCTGTTTTTTCTATGTGTCATGTGTCATATCTTACCAGAGATAATCTTCAAAACAATTGCATATCCCTGAAGTTTTTCTTCGTCAAAGAATATCGGGAAACTGAACGTTGAATGATTCTTCGTGGCAGGTACAAAAATGATTCGTAGAAATTCACAATCTGCATCATTGAGAGGCTTGTCAAGAGTCAACACTCTCTTGTTGTCTGTTGGCGTTGTTGACAGCGCTTTTTCAAACTGCAAAGCGATGAGTTGAAAATTTTGTGCTTAACTGGTAGATTGGGTCAGTTCAGTGTCTGCTGATGCGCATGCTCATCTAGCTTGCTCTTAGGTAACAGTGATTTTACGTCAGCCGCAGGCGAGTTAGCGTCTATTTCGTTGCTCAAACGCCTTAAAATAATGTATGATATTATGATACCCAAATAAAGAAATGATCCCTTCAAGTTACATCATATTAAACATAACTAAAAGCCCCTCAAACTGGCTATACTAGTCACTACATAAAATAACTTTTGAGGTTATCTTATTGAGACAACACTACTTTTTATTCATGAGATAAAAACGTCATCGACCTTGATTCACTAAAGAGATACCACTTCAAAAAAGGGACTGACTGGTCCCTTCTATACTATTACTATAGCATCGGAATGGATGCCTGTTAGTGATTTCAGCAAACACCATGAACGGCCCATAAACATTAGCTATTCAGGATAAAGGAAACGTTAAACCCACTTCAAGTCGTGGGGAAAGCGGTTTGCTTTCGGAAAACTCATATAATTTGAACAATTCGTCTAATCTCTTAATGCCTTTGTGCTAATGGTGTTGTCTTTCCACTGGAGGATCGCGTAATTTCTAGGAAATCATGTCGCGTGGTTTAACGCGAAGCTCAAGTTGTTGTTTTGTGGGAAAACCTTCGGATTTGTTTGTGTTTATTTTCTAGATGAATTTGAAATGAAAGGCTCTATATAATTAACAATTATTCTTTGAAATCGAGGTGAATAGTGGCAAAATATTTACCGAGCCGCGAAAGCGGCGAGGTAAATATTCCCAAAGCCACTATTCACCGAGATTGAGAAGAATAATTGTTTTAGTATATACACACGAAGTGATCTCAACAAAATCAGAAAGGAAACCATTCAAAAGTAGGATTTGATTGACAGATCAAATCACGCGTAAGTTTAAAAATAGATCTTTGCAGAATTTTCAAACATGGCAATTCACAAGTTTACTCATTTCGCAAACAACAGCGTAATGGCTTCAATGGAATCGCTAAAAGTTTGAACTGTTTCCTTACCTGAGAAAAAAAGTAGAGCTGTGTTGTTTTCTGTTGACTCGCCAAGTTTATAGCCAAAAGGGCATGTTGTGTCGTTCTTCGCATGAAGTGCTGACAAAAATGGCGGCTCGGTTGCTCGAGGTAAGAGGTCGTCTTCCTGTATCATTCTTTTTCCTGTTTACTTGAAATGTAGAATTTCTGCAAACATTTCCTTTTAAATTTGTTTGTCCTAAATAAACTTCGATTTTTGAGCCAAAATTTTCTTCTTAGAAAACGCTGAGTGCACGAAACGGCTTCTTCTACGCGAATACACGGGAGCTGTAAACAATCCATCGAGCACAAAACTCCTGCTACAGTAAATTGAAAAACGCCGTATTGAATCCTTCCAAGTCTTTTCTTGCCTTAAAAAAAGTCAGCCCTAGGATTTTGTCGACTTTTAAAAGATCGTTCTCTAAAAAAAACGGGAAAAACACCGAGCTCACACATTATCCACTCGCTAGGAGGTGAATATTGTTGAATAGTCCGAGATAGCGAACCAATCAGATTGCTTAAATCACCAAGATCACTGAGTGTGTATATACTAATTATAATTATGCCACTGGAATATGAAGTTGTTTTTAAAATTTTTCCTCTTGAAAGTTGTCTTGCCACTAAATCTTTGGTTCACCTGGCATTTTTGTTTAACAATTGCTTGACTTTAGGTCATATCCTGTGCCCATTACAATCCATTGTAACCAAAGTTATATGTGCCTGATGAATTTTAAGTTAAAGGGTAATTGGAAAATAGAAACTCTGGTCTAAAATCATTTTGAAAAGGAAAACAAATTGGGCGAAAACCTTTAGGGCGGTGGCCTTCACCCAGTCTCAAACCAATCGCTCGTTCCAGAGTAAAAAGAACCGATTATTAGTAAGTTGTAATCGTTCTTACCCACTGAAGGTACTTTTTGACTCGCTCTTTACGCTCTTCTCTGTTCTTGGTAGGTTTCAAAACTGAAGTTGTGATTTCCTCCAGCTTCGTGCTATCTTCGTTTGTGAACGAATCTAAGATATAAAAGTAGAGAGTAGCTTTTCTGACAATACACTGAATTTTGTTCACAATAACACTGAATTTCACAATTGTCAATCTTGAATCTTGCTTAATGTTGACTTTGGCCACTTCTGGCATTGAAAGGGTTAAACCGTTCTATGATGACAAAAGTGCGGAAGGACACTTACCTCCTGAGACCCGAGGGTGGGGGGGGGCTGGCTAGGTGGGGGGAGGGGGCTCAGAGCCCCACCCCCTCTCTAACCTCAAGGATTTTTGACACAATGAAGTAATTTTAGACATCATATTGCTGTCGTCGTGTTGTCTCAAAGTAAGCAATTAAGTGAAGAATACTTAAATGAAAAACCCGTATGATAAACTCAAAAATAATGTTGGCCATCACATTAATAAACTTTATTATTCATTCAAAATATTTCCCCAATTAAGCACACGCATAATTCACCATAACCAGTTACTGGTGACCAAATTTGGAAGAACTTTGTGTTTAACGAGGAAATGACGTTAAAAATACAGCCCGCTACAGGTTAAGGCACCGTTACCGAGAAGACCTGGAGACGAGGTTGAGTTGTTTTGGTTGTGAAAAAAAAATGGCGGACATTTCACTCGTTTCAAGAGTAAGAACTACAGCTGGAACTAGGCGAAATAATAGCCAAAAACATGGCAAAAACAGCCAGAAGACAACTCAGAGGGCGACATCTGCTATTTGGAGAATATTTGTGGAGCTGGACAAACCTAAACGTACAGTATCGAAGATGAACTTGACATCGATGCAGGTAAGCATGTTTCAGCTCTGTTTTTACACTAGGTATTATTTTAAATGAATAACAAAGCAGTCAATGAATTCGGCTTTCGTAGGATATGAAGAATTAAGCAGATCTCGGAGGTTGTTATCCACCTTGGCCTTCGGCCTCGGTAGATAACACCCTCCTCGATCTGCTTAATTCTTCACATCCTACGAAAGCTGAATTCATTAATTGCTAATGAAACAATAGAAGTGATGTCATTCTGAAGTCATTTATTGTTAAAGGAACTGGACCCATACGTCATCTTGGATCCGCCATTTTCAATTAATTAAGTGTATTCCATTCTAGATCTCCCTGAGTACTATTTTAAGAGGAATGTAAAATAATGTAAATACATACAGATTCGTGGAAAGAAAGGTATAACTCTAGGGGCGGGGTTGGTCACTAAAAGTTCAGAATAGTTTAACCGAAAACAAATATTGATCTTACCTATCAAATAACTGTCCATGTCATCCACCAAGCTGACTGCGGTGTTTTTGCTCTCCTCCTCCTCGTCTTCTTTACATCTGTTTACAGGTCTACCAACAACCTCTCCCTTGGGGAGTTCCAATCGATTTTTGTCCTTGTTCAAGACGACACGGCAACACTGAAACAGGATTGGACCACGTGTATTCGCCCTTGTTGCTATATTTGGAGGGATAGTCACCTTTATGTATTTTCCTTTCATCTGAGAGAGGAAATGCAAGGGGATATTGATTCCTGCATCTGCTTCCACCTTTAAAATTGATACAAACAAGTCATTGAATAGAGTATTTTTGCCCACGCAATAGCGAGATTTTAAGAAAGCCTGGCCAGGGGGAAAGGGGGCGTACTGGGGATCTCAAGTGACGGGGATAATAGAAATCTTCTCTTCCAGGATTTTTTTGGGTAGGAAACTTTGGCAAGTATTTTTTGGGGTGGCTTGATTTAAAAGAGATTTTTTTGGGTATTCAATACAATCTGAAGATTCGTGGTAGTGCCTGCGTATCCCCGCCTCGTGGCTCTGCGAATCACAACCAAACCTGTTTTGAGGCTGTTTTAACAGCAGAGCTCTCGCGTGCGCGAAGGGCGCGTAGAGGAGCACCATGGGTAAGAAAATGTGGCAATCTATGCATCCAAGAAATTTTGGTTCTGAGAAAATCGTCCGTGAGGTGTACTTCCCTACGAAGGTCCACCCCTTCATGTAAGCCGGGATTGAATTTTGCTTTTCGAGCACCCGTACGTTTCGACACGTTTCGGCGGTAAATCGCATAGCTTTTCGGACTTTTAGCGATAAAAACAACAACACCAAAGCCGATTCTTTCTGTCGACTAAATTTTATTGTCTACATTGACATGGATAATAGAGAAAGAGCTAGAGCGAGAGTAAAAAACAAAGGAGACCAATTTCTGTGGAAGAAAAACATCAAAAATTTATAGCGGCGGTGAGAAAAAGGAAAAATGCTAGCGGCCATCAAGGTGAAAATGAGCGGCAGCGAAAGAAAAAATGAACAGGAACACATAAAACGTGTAACTAGGAAGTTTCTGGAACTTTCTAGATAAACTAACATCAACCCGAACCTGACTCGTAATCTCCTTACCCTTATCCTAACCTTACTCTAAAACCTGGTTTCGATATGATCGTCCGGATCTTCTTGATCGCCCCAGTCGTTTCAAAAAATTTCGAGGCGATCAGGACAACTGGGACGATTGGCAGCTCCATATGATCGCCTCGATCGCCTTAAAGACAAGACACGCCGGGGCCTCAGCTATGTCTTTGGGTGAGACAATAGAATTTTTGCGCGTGTTTCGCAAACAAGCCAAACATAATCATGGATTTTAATCGGAGAGCGAACTTCGTGCCTCGCTATCTGCTTTTTCTCTCGATTTTACGGCGTCGAGCTGCTAGAAGAGTTCCACGACTGTAGTATCACTTCTAGAACTTGATATTACTGACTTTAGCTAATTTCAAATAGCGCCCATACGTGGTGCGAACGTTTTTGTATTATTTTTTTTCGACTTCAGCGCCGTTAAGGCCGAATTTATTCTCGATGACTAGAATAAAACTGAGGATTTCTGGAATAGCCTTGGATCGTCCCAATCGTCTCAGCTGTCTGAGAGCTTTTCCATATGACCGCTACAAAATTTACATGATCGCCCTAATCGTCGACCATATAGAACTCAACTCTATCCAAGCGATCGAGGTTGTTTCAGTCGTCCAAGTCGTTTGCGATCGTCCGGTTAGCGTTTCCATATGATCTTTTCAATCGTCTAAACATTAAGGACGGCGACAGCAGCGAAAACATCTCTTAAAAATTAAATTCATGTTCATTCAATCTTCGTTGCGACAGTTCCAACTCACTTACGTTCTCAAATGTAGGCAAACTCTCCTGGAGTTGAATTCCTAAAAACCATATCCAAGTTCAGAATGGGAACGAAAATTTCGTAGCAGCTTGTTTACGCAAATCCAGAAAACGCAAAATTAGGCATTTTCAAGTCCTAGTCATGCAATGAAGGCAAAGAAATGTACAAAAAAAGCGTGATGCACGTGCCAAGTTATTGTTTTGCTAATCTTAACCTATTGCTTTTTTTGACGATCCCGTCGGCGTCGCCGTCGTCGGATCTTAAGTTCCCTATTACTTGAGACTACTGGGACGGTCGGGACGATCTCCACGATCATAATTGAGGAAACCCTAGCCCTCACCCTAACCTAACCCTTACCCTAACCCTAACCCTAACCAAACCCTAACTCGAGCTTTCCTAGCTTCCATGATTGCCGCGAAAACCTTCCTGTTAATGGTCGTGGAAATTGCAGGGCGTGAAAATGGCGGGAAAGCGAAAAACTGTCGAGTTCTGAGTCGAGTTAGGACTCGGTATATAGGCATCCTCGGAAGTTTCTCGTTGTAGTCGTGCCAAAAAACGGCAAAGAAATGTCCAAAAAGTGTGCTGCACGAGCAAAGTTCCTTTTTTTACTAATTAGACCTACTGATTCTTTTTGGCTGTTTTCGTTGCCGTCGCCGCTTAGCATTACACGATTTTATATTTTATTTGAGTAAACTATAGATATTAGACTAACGAGAGCTTTTCTTTTAGCCCTGGCTAAATCTATAGAGTGTTTTCACATGACGTTACGATGGCCATATTGGTGTCCCAAAACAATGAAACGGTGGCCACGTTGGTGTCCCAAAGCAGTCCTGTGGGAGTTGAGTTCCTTTTTTATGCAAACATAGATGCTGGCCACGTGAGTGAAAACACTCTAAATATAGTATGCTCTGATTAGTCAAAATATGACACGTGAGTTCATGCGGAAAATTTATGCAGCATCTGGAAACTTGTTTTTCGATAGCTGAAGCTGACAGAGTGTTGTGTCATCTTGTGGTGGCTTTAACTGTCTTTTTCCACTTGATGTACAAAATGAAATACAGCTGCTACCAAGAATATTTTGTTTGGCTGGTTTGCTTATAGGATTTTGGTTAAGAAATGCGCCGCTTGTCGGAAATCCCATCTCGGAAAGCATCTTTTTCAAAAATGAGCTTAATACTCACTTCACCTTGCTTGATGCGTAAGACGGAGTTCAAAGTCTCAAGCGATTCTGGCCTTATTTGATGGCTTTCAGAACCTGCATCTCGACCTGATAACCCTGAATAATTATTGTATTTGATGTTTTTTTTATTATTATTATTTCTCAAGTCGAGCGCAGTTTATGCCGCTAGTTTATTCACTTTTATGTACGTTTGTAAGATTTGATCAGGTTTGATATAAGCTTACAGAATTTTAAAATAGCCTCTAGACATCTTCTGACTGCAAATAGAAAGAAAGCGTTACGAAGAATTAAGTTCTAATTTTCTTTAAAAATAGCATATACCGGGAAGCCGGGTTAAGACATAAGCTTATATTAAATCTGCAAGGTATTAATTATAAGCTGTAATATATGCTTAAAAACTCAGGATTTTCAGAGACACTTTACTCTCAGCTGCTCAGTACTTTTCTTCGTGAATGAAAATTGTTGACGTTGTCTCACTCTTTAAATTTTTCACCTTATTATATTTCTTTTATTGATTGTTAGTAGTCTCTGTCGCAATTTTAATCGCTGCGCCGTTTGGAGCATGTATGTTGCCCAGGATCCGGCCACTTCAGTGTAACATTGCAATAATTTTCCTTTCTTAGTTGCAAGAGCTTTGAAATTTGGCCCAGAGAAAATCTGTTTAGTCCTTAATACGAAGAAAGACAGTTTATTTTTTTTGGCCTTCGTTTCCATCGCGAAATTAATATGTTTGCAGAGCTCCTATGTTGCCTAGTATCCGGCCAGCTGGCCCAGTATCCCGCCACAACAATAACAACATAATTATACCTAAATTTCGACAGGCAAGCGACTTATAAGCTTCTCTTGCACTTGCGAAAAAGTGATTGGCCATCGATTCCAAAAATATCAATCGATCTGGACCTAGCATCGTGAAATAAACCATTGATAACAAAAGACTGGGGTATTGAGAGGGGGGGGGGGGGACGCGAGCGACTGTTAAATGGTATAGTTCTTACTTTCTTGACTAGGAATTTTTTCACTGATTTAAGGAATTCATCCCTGGACAAGCCAAAGCTACGGTTTCCAAGCTTTGCGACCTGTTTTTCCTTCATTTTTTGCTTAAAAATAAAACAAACAAGCAAACTGGCGAATGGCCGTCAGTCCAACGGTCAAAGGTCACTCTCCTGTTTAGTCTGGCCTGTAGTGTTGATTTCTTTATGCTCAGTCCCCACATTAGGCCTGCTTTTCTGGCACTAATTCCTCCTTCTTTCACATCTTTCAATCTCTTTGAGAAATTTTTCAAACCGTTGCAATCCAATTCTAGCAGTAACAACTGGGGAAAGTATGAGAATTCCCGGTTCAACTCCGACGCTTCCGGTTATATATAGAAAATGCAGTCACGCGAAACAAGCCGTGCACACGAAATCAAGTCGTCTCTGAATGAGTGAAGAAAATTTCCATAAGGAGTTGAGTAGAACTGCATTATACAGATTATATCATATATCCTACGCTTTAATTGTAGTTATAGATATGAAATAGAGCTATCCGGATAATGTACGCAGCTATTTTATCGACTTTGCACAGCAACGAAAAAACTGGCCTGATATTGGGCACCTGACATCTATACTTAGTGAATGTTTCCGGCCTCCGTTATTCCAAAAAAATCGAATTTCAAGAAGAATTGATAAATTTTCTGACAATCTGACTTCCTTAAGTATTTTCACTTTAAATATAAGAAAGTTTCTTTGATTATTACCAACTCTTATTTTTACTGCGATGTAAACCGCGTATTAATATTAGCCATGCTGGGCCAGGACACATGCAAAAAGCTGCAAGCTAGAAACTAGTTTTGCATTTTTTATTGGTTTGAGCTCAAACTTTGCAGGATGGATTGTAACTGTGTTTGGCGGGAAAATGACGTCACAAGATTGATAGCAAAATTAAAATTTTTAAGATATGGCAAAACGAATAAATAATTTTGAAAGAACGTGACGTGATAGAAACAAATGTGAAAATTTTTTTTGAAAAACTCAATTGGTTAAAGAGTTATTAAGCTTTGATTTTTGAATTTCCCGCCATTTTGTTACTATTTTTAGAAACATAAGGACATTTCAAGATGCTATATCTCCTAAAGCAATTGAGCTTTTCCAAAAAAAAAAAAAAGTTCTACCAGAGTTCTACCATCCTGCAAAGTTTGAGCTCAAACGAATAAAAAGTGCAAAAGTAGTTCCTCGATTGCAGCTGTTTGCATGTGTCCTGGCCCAGCGTGAGCCATGAAAAGTTAACTCACCTGAACAGAACGGGCGCCTTCTGCAACTGTTTCACCAGCTGTAAACTCGCCAAAACTTTCATCTTAAAGCTGAAATGTTCATCTTTCATTCGAAATAATTCGCTTACCGAACGCAAAAAATCCGGCCTGATTTTTATTTTGGCCTCGCTTTTAGGGAAAGGAAAGCAACCTAGAAACAGTACTGCAACGTGTAAATTGACTGCCACCGAGGACCATTATATATCATATATTTCGGGGATTTCCAACTAACCTTATTATCACAAATAAAGGTGGTCGTAGGTGGGTGATTGGGTTATCTTGTTTAGGAAGAATTTTTTTTCCAGGCCTAATCTACTTTGATCGAAGATGATTGCTATGTTTCGGGTGTACATAAAGGCTATTAACTCGATGTAAAATTTGTTTAACTCTTGAACTGTTTGCAAATTCTTTTTCTTTAAAATCACCTAATAATAATAATAATAATAATAATAATAATAATAATAATAATATTTATAGAGGGAGCCCAACTCGCCAAGGCGGTTTTCAGTGGGGCCCTCATGCATTAATCTAACTAATTAATTAATAATTACGAAAAAAGTAAAATATGTTTACAAGTAAAACAAATTTAAAAATTTAAAATCTTAAAATCGATTATACAAAAAAACATCAAGGTTTAAAATTAGCTGAGATCTTTCAAAACAGTTTTTAACTTGGATTTAAAAATAGATAAAATATTACACTCTTTTAAATCATTTGGAAGGCTGTTCCAGTCTTTCGCGGCGTGAAAAATAAAAGTTTGTTTACCCCAGTTTGTTCTGGGTAGGGGTAAGCGAATATCATTAGAGCGTCTTGTATTATATGAATGAACAGCTTGACTTTTAGTAAAATTAAAGCTGAAATCGGTTTCTCCAATATGACACTTGTGGATTGCAAAGCAGCGATGAAAAAACCTTCTTGTGGACAGTGACTTCAAATCTAGACTTTTCAGTGCTTCAGTTGACGAGCTTCGGGGTGGTTGCCCCAGCATAACTTTAGCAGCTTTACTCTGTAGAATCTGTAATTCTGACATGATGGTGTCATTGTTCTTGTCCCCCCATATAACGTCTCCGTAATCAAAAAGAGGGAGGATTAGGGCATTGTACAAGGCAACTCTAGCTTGTAGCGGCAATAGATTCCTGATTCTCCTAATTAGGCCTATTCTCTGATTAATCTTCATGCTGATAGCATCGACGTGACCTGCCCAGGACATAGACTGTTGAAGCGTTACGCCTAGGTATTTGAATGATTGTGTTCTTTCAATGCTAGTGCCCTCTACTTTAACCGAAATGCCTTGAATACGATTCAGTTTCTGAGGACTTCCAAAGATAACAAAATTACATTTGGATATATTTAGTGTCAGAAGATTTCTAGAGAACCACTCAGACACTGTCCCCAAGTCAGCATTGATGTGATGTTCAAGATAACTGACGCTTTTGGATGAGTAATAGAGTACAGTATCGTCTGCATAAAGAATAATATCGCTTGCCAGGTGACAGTCCGGAAGATCATTCACGTAAATTAAAAACTAATTAAATTAGTCTTTCCTTTTCGTAAATTAGTCTTTCCCTCAAAATTCACATGAATGTGCCCTAACGCTAACTGATTTGTGGATTACAGGTTAATTGTTTGATTTAAATTCTAAATTTATGAACGGGAGCTTCGCTTTTAGCCCTGAGATTGTTTGGGGGGATTAATTTTTGGTCCAGGGAACTTTTGGGGGTTTGTTGGAACGTCTACGGATATTTTGGGGGTTTGATTTTTGTCCCTCTTCAATCATCCCCGTCAATTGAAATCCGGAGTACCCCCTTAATGGGCCTGGCGTATAGAGCCTGATTACATCAGTCGGACTGGCTTGCTTTTGTGAAGCCGACTTTTATCCCGGTTTTACGCCGCCCCGGTACCGGCATATCAGCTAAACTGGCCAAATTGGTTGCATGTAATCATAACACAGGGTCCATTCTTGCGCTTAATCTCCTTTCCGTGTTTCGAAAAAAGGGGGGTTAACCCGGTTTTGTAATCATGGTCCTAATCTGGAAAACAACAAGCTCAGAAGCAAGACAGTGAGATTCAGTAAAGTTTTATGAAAAAACAAAACAGCTATTCACAAGTAACTTATACCCACAGCGTCACAGGGATTAAGCTCGCTGCTTGATAAAATGGGGATGACAACAAGAGTGTTAATTACATGTATCTATCTCCCTTTCATTCTCTACCGTGTAATTTATCACTATATAACAATAATGATAATAATAATAATAATAATAATAATAATAAAACCGATAATAATAATAATAGTACGAAGAAGAGGAAGAAAAATAAGAAAAACAAGATAGTTTTCAACGGCTAAAATACCTCGATTTTCCTGTTGCCTTTAACTACAAATCGCTGACTGTACATCACTGAGGTTATCAAACGCAGTTGTTGGTCTTCAAACACTTCTGTTTTATTGATATCTAGTTCTGTTTTGGCCAACACTTCACGTAAGTCTGGGTCAAGTATGTATTCCTCGTCAATTCCCCCTAGCTCTAGGGATCCCAGATCTTCATTTATCTTGATCTTAATATTGGCAATATTACCAGCTTGGGCTCCAGCTTCACAATAGCTGAATCAAAAAGCAAAAAAAATTCGTATCAGGAAAAATTTAGTCTGCGTGCATGTTACATACAGGACAGAATGTTAGTACTGTACTACTGGGTAAATTTGCATTAATAGAAAAATGAATACATTGATGATAATTAAGAGAGGGGACTTTTTACAACTGATTACATTCTGCAGTATTTCTTAACGGAATTAAGAGTTAGAATGACTTTCGTAACACAAAACATTCCCTCTAGGGGGTTATAATTCCTCAGGTTCATGAGAGTTGATAATCCTCTCCAGGAGGTGATAGCCTCTAGGGTGGTGAGAGGTGATAATCCTTTCTCGGCGTGATAATCCCCCAAAGTGGTGTGACGTTATAATCCTCTGTCCGAGCGATAATCCTTCAGGGTAGTAAGGGGTTATAATCCTCTGAATAAGTGATAATCCCTCAGGGTACTGAGGGGTGATAATCCTCTCTCTGAGTGATAATCCCCCAGGGTAGTGAGGGGTGATAATGCTCTGTCTGAGTTCGAATGACTTTCGTAACACAAAACATTCCCTCTAGGGGGTTATAATCCCTCAGCTTCATGAGAGTTGATAATCCTCTCCAGGAGGTGATAGCCCCTAGGGTGGTGAGAGGTGGTAATCCCCTCTCGGAGTGATAATCCCCCCGAGTGGTGTGACGTTATAATCCTCTGTCCGAGTGATAATCCCTCAGGGTAGTTAGGGGTTATAATCCTCTGAATAAGTGATAATCCCTCAGGGTACTGAGGGGTGATAATCCTCTGTCTGAGTGATAATCCGTCAGGGTAGTGAGGGGTGATAATCCTCTGTCTGAGTGATAATCCTCCAGAGTGGTGAGGGGTGATAATCCTCTGTCTGAGTGATAGTCCCCCAGGGTAGTGAGGGGTGATAATCCTCTGTCTGAGTGATAATCCCCCAGGGTAGTGAGGAGTGATTATCTTCTGTCTGAGTGATAATTCCCCAGGGTAGTGAGGGGTGATAATCCTCTGTCCGAGTGATAATCCCCTAGGGTAGTGTGGGGTGGTAATCCTCTCTCGGAGTAATAATCCCCTAGGGTTGATGAGAGGTGATAATCCTCTTTCGGAGAGATAATCCCCCGGGGTGGTGAGGGGTGATAATCCTTTGTCTGAGTGATAATCCCCCAGGAAAGTGATGGGTGATAATCCTCTGTCTGAGTGATAATACCCTAGGGTAGTGAGGGGTGATAATCCTCTGTCTGAGTGATAATCCCCTGGGGTAGTGAGGGGTGATAATCCTCAGTCTGAGTGATAATCCCCCAGGGTAGTAAGGGGTGATAATCCTCTGTCTGAGTGATAATCCCCCAGGGTAAAGAGAGGTGATAATCCTCCCTCAGAGTGATAATCCCTCAGGGTAGTGGGGGTGCTAATCCTCTCTCGGAGTGATGATCCTCCCGGATAGCGAGAGATGACAATCCTTCCTCGGAGTGATAATCCCTCAGTGTCGTGAGAGGTGATAATCCCTTGGGGTCGTGAGAGGTGATAATCCTCTCTAGGGAGTGATAATCCCCCAGGGTAGCGAGAGGTGGTAATCCTCTCTCGGAGTGATAATCTCTCAAGGTTGAGATTGAGAGGTGATAATCCCCCTTGGGTACGGAGGGGTGAAAAGAGCTCTGTTGATTACCAATTTCTTGGATTAAGGAGTAACAAGAGTCTTGGGTGCAAAGGTCACAAGCATGGGAGAACTTCATCGTAGGCCCATGGTCAACTGAATATATGCAAGTATGATCACTAATCTTAGTTATGATTGGGTGTCTTGGATGCAGGTTAAAGTAAATTATGAAAATAGATAACGGTAACTAGGCAAAAACTAGTAAATGTTACAGGGTAATGTTTCAGTGACGTTAATTTACCTTGCAGCACCGCTGCCATCTTCACTTTCCCCGACTGATGCTATCTCATTATTTTTTTTAACCTTTTTGTTTTTCAAGGCTTCATATTCTTTCCTCTTGCCATCTGCTACGTAATGTTCTAGTCCAGCCACAACTGTGTATGTATATCGTTTGAACGGACGTTCCAGAACGTACCTAGATGTCCTTACCACCAGAGTAAATAACTTAATATCCTGAGTTCGGCCATGGACAACAGGGAGATAATGACCCTCTTTATCGCCAAAATTTTCCTTTGCGAATTCACGTAACAAATTGTCAATCAGCTAAAATGTGAGAAAATAATAATAATAATAATAATAACAGTATTGATAATAATAATAATAATAATTATAATTATAATAATAATTTTAGTGATGATGATGATGAACATTATGATGATGATGATGATAGTGCTAGAAATGTGGGAAGATCTCTTCCACTGAGCTGGTTAATTACATAGAAACCGGACAAAATTGAAAGCAACGAAGACTGGAGGCTCGTTACATAACGTATAAGAAGCAAGGCGAGGCGAGAACTTAAACTGGCGATTCAAAGAAGAAGCCAAAGAGGCTTATGCAGAGTAGCAGAGTAACACCTACATGTAAACCAGTGTATGAGTCATCTGATGCACACGCCTAGTGGGATGTACCGGTTTACGCTGGTCAAAAAATGTCGGGATCGTTACCGAAGAAGAATTTGTCAACGTAAGAAAATGTTTCAACTCCTACATGGCCACCGTTTTATCGTTTAGCTATTAGCTAGCCCCGCACTATTACGTTTTTTTATTTCAAACTGACCTCGGACGCAAAAATTCAGCCACTTGTTTAAAAATACAGGCGGGGAAGACCTTTTCTTACCATCTTCACGCGTTGATCACGCTCTACGTCCAATTTTTGTGCTCTGATTTTTCAAAATTTGACAGGTGAGTTCATGCAGAAAACTTATGCAGCATCTTTGACAGCTAAAGCTGACAGAGTTTTGTGTCAACTTGTGATGTTTTTAACTGTCTTTCTCCACTGGATGTACAAAATGAAATACAGCTGCTATCAAGAGTCTTCTAATATTCATGGCTGGTTTGTTTATTGGGCTTTTGCTTGAGAAATGCGTCGCTTGTCAAAGTCGGAACCGATTTCGGATGGCATCGTTTTCGTTTTTCACCTAGCTTGCTTGATGCGTAAGTCAGGGTTTGAAAGTCTCAAGTGATATATTTTTTTCAACAGCAGAAGAGAAATTTCGTATCTTCAAGCGACCATGTAATGTTCTATTTATTATATAAAAACCAATGAAATACCAAACCATTTTACTTAAACAGTTTTTTGGTCTGAAAGGTGCGAATTATTATGAAGCCATAGAAACGGTGACATTTTCACATGTGAAGATATCAAGTTTTCGCGCGAACGCTCACTTGGTATTTCATTGGTGTTTATATAATAATGTATATATCTTATTTCATGAAGGCGAGCACAGTTAATTTATGCGCCAAGTTTATGCACGTTTGCAAGATTTGAGACAACGATCTGATCTAGTACCAGATTTGATATAAGCTTACAGAACTCTAAATGGGCGTTAGATATATTTTCTCACCGCAAGTAGAAATTTGTAGGCATAGACCAAATTACACTCAAAAAATGTAAAGAAAGCAGCCGAACGTAGTCTAATCAAATTCTTTTTTCTCGCAATCGACCGACGCAATCTCCCTCTTTTTTCGTGCAAAGATTCAGATGAAATCAAACCACTATACGATGAAACTGCATCAGTTTCAGAGCTCATCGTTTTCTTAGATATTAGCTAATTATATCGATAGCATGTTCATTCAGTGTTTTTCTGACCCTTAAAACTTTGTTTAAAATATTTCGAAAACGCTCTCATAGAATTTGCTCAAACTTTGTCATAATCAAGGCCACTAATAACCGATTTTCGAAAAAAAAAAGCTCGTGGTACCGAGAAATACAAAGGCAAGTAAATAACGTAGCGTCATCACGTTTCCATGGTAACTCTGATGTCAATAAAACATGTATCATAACAACTTTTCATCTTTACATAGTACAACTGTGCCAACCTTTTTCCGATGTCTTTGTTAATGCCGAACCAGTAAACGCTTTAAGTGGGGAAGTATACCCCCTAAAAAAAAACCAGTCGAGCCTAACAACGGATTAGTGATATCGGTTGGGATTACTCCAGGACTTCACAGTGCTTTTAAAACACTGTTCAGATCATGTTTAAAGAACAGTTTGGTCACACCGCGCACGACTATGGCTGAAACGATTTTGATTATTTGGAAGTTGATCAGTTAGCCATGAAGTTTAATCTTTTTGGTGATAATTGCTCAAACGTTTACACAAAACATTCAACTGACACCCCGTTTTGACAGATTCATGACCGAAAAGAAAGTAAAACTAAAGGGAAATACGCAGAGTAAAGTGCAAATAATTAAATGGTTTTGTGGGCTATACGACGGATGCAACGACCAGAGAGCCTACTGAATTTGACTTACCGCCATAATACTTCAAGCTTGTCTGTGCGTGTTCAGTCCTCTAAAAATAGATATATGGCAATCAGGTGAAAGTAAAACTGAAAACCATGTTTCTATCTACTGTTACATTTTTCTGGTTCTGTGATCCTCATCAATATTTCGTTAATATTAAGGAAATGCCATTAAAAATTTTGGTGTGACGTTTACAAAAGAGTTAGTTCCTATCGGTGCTTAATACTCACAGTTCTCAAGATAAATTTGATATTACACAAAGTATTCACTGATTAAGAGATATCAAGACGGAAACCACTGAAAAATCTTGTTATCTAGAAAGTTTAATTGTCGCGTAACGACACGGTCTGAGTGAGCAGAGTAACCTCAAAATAAAATAAATTAGAGTTCAAACCATTTGATCGCTTAATTACATAGACGGTTTACACATCTGCCATTAAAGAAACAGCTTTTCCAGAATTTTGAATCCAATTATCCCCATTTTCCTTGCTTATAAGATACTCCAAGCTACTGGCTCGAGTTAGTGTTCTGATATTTGTCTGTCTGTTAATTTTGTTGTTGTTTGTGTATTTCTTTTCCTATTAAAAGTCTTCTAAAATGTTCCAACTCACATTCAGCTAGGTGAAGTCTTCTATTTTTCTAATACACATTATAGCCTGGAGTGCGTTTAATTTTTGTTTGATGCTATGACATTCACATCAGTCTTTAACCTTAAATTATGGATTTTTTTAATGATCGCTTTTGATCGTTTTGGTGGTGTACGCTCAAACTTTCCGCTCTCCCTCTTAGCAAGGATGTTTCAAGCACGGTTTTTAGTCATCTTACCTTGCGGAAGAAATTTCTGTTTCTGAAGAGTTTGATTAATTCCTGATTCTTTAGGAAATCTCCTTCGAGCTGTTTGAAACAAAAATGTGAACAGTTTCTGAATTCAGCAATATTTACCTGAATTCGTTCCCAGGTCTCTCATCTGATCTTCCCCTCGCCTATTTTCCTCCAATAGGCGTTAAGTATCGAGTATCGACACTTCCTGCTCTGTGCTCAAACGCAATGCTACTATTGGAGTGTGATGGTGACGTAAATGCGCACACTTCTAGTTTTCTAATAAAGTTACAAAAGTGTCATTTCATAAACTATTAGTGAGAAAAAATAGCTGAATTACACTCTCTCCGAATATTTCGGTTCTTTTTTTTTTTCTTTTCTGATATATGATGTTAAAAAATCAAAATTTTACAAATGGACTGATGGTCGAATAAACTCTTTTACACCCAGAGATTGTGCGTACCTTGCTGGCTGATACTTCCTTAAGTATTGCATGAAAAAAGCTAAAAACTGCACAGATTATTTATTCAATCTTGTCATTCAATATTGGCAGTTGCTTGTGTTGAGTTGTTTTTCAGTTTTGGAAGGTGATTCTTGTTTAGTCCTTTTTATAAAATTTTAACGATACGGCAACAAAATTTAAACAAAGACGTCAGCAAAGATTCCCCCAGAACGCACGATTTTCATGCGTTAAGGACTTGAATGAATGAATTTATTAATTAATCAATATCCTTTATTTAAACACGATGAATATTAAAGCAGTAAATTGCTTGAGGGTTCTTGTGTGCTAAAAAATTTAATACATTCATATCTAATGACTTATCTCTTACTCAGTGACCACTACTGATCACTTTCTTTGATCATAAATCTTATGAGAGTTTTAAAACAAGATATTCATTTCTTCATTATTATCTGCCACAAAAACAAAAAAGAAAAAAACGTAAATTAAAGAAATTAAGTTACATGTTTTCTACCTGAATCGGTTATGTTTCGTTCACATACGAATTCAAGCATCAGAAAACCGTGACAAGAACATTTAACCAAATCATCAGGCAAAAGGGACATTGTATTTCATAGGTATTGTTTCTTAGCTAATACGAAAAAAAATATTGTATTATGGCATTAATACACGAGATCTGACAAATATATACAACATGCCCTCTTCTCACAAGAAACATTATAGAGATAAAGGAGAGAGGGTGTGATTTCAGGTATCGATATGATTGGCTGAGCATGTCGTGTTACGAGAAAGTTCAATGACATGTTTTCCTCATAGTACATAAATATGGTGGCCGAAAGGATAAAAAACAAAAAACAAGACTCGAAAACATAACCCGCTAACCCCGCACAGAAACACACATAGACAAAACGGAAAATGATAACCCAACGTCAATCTGGACTGAGAAATAAAGATCCCAAACAGAAATACACTATCCCCAAAAGGAAACACAAACAAACCCAAAATAGAATCACCCACCAGGCCTGAGAGACGTATATCCCAAAATATTAAACAGAAACTCACCCAAAAACCGAAAACAAAATGCAAAACAGGATCACAAACCCCAAAACAAAAACACGAAATGGAAAAAAAGAGTTTGCTATATATGAATCAGGCATTGTTTAGACGCTGATTCGCTCCATGTATGGTACTCTGGTATACTTTCTTGAAATAACCACATTGACACAATTGTTTAAAAAATCAGTAGAACTGTTGGGCTGTTATCGAAATTTCGACATTTTTTTGCCTTTAGCACACTTATTTCCATTTATCACTCTCTGATACACCCTATCTTCGATACGGTGTAATTGTATGGTGTCAAGCAAGCAAATCACAACTAAACAAACTTCTAGTCCTTCAGAAACGCGCTCTTTGCTTTATTCACTTTGCTAAACCACGTGATTATGCCATATCTCTCTTTATAAATACAAAAATATTACCAATTAACTTTCTCTATTATCAGCTACTAGCAGAAACAATGTCTGACTCGAGAAACAACTTAGTACCTACAAACATTCAGGAATTGTTCCTTCCACTTTCTCGTGTACATTCATACGGCACTAGGTCGTCTACATCTCAAAACTTTTATATGAAAAAAATCGAATCTTGGTGCCAAATTATGGAATGAGATACCGACCAAGTTGCGCGCACTTTCAGAACACAAATTCAGATTTAATATTCGTGCGTCTTTGCTTGATATACTGATGACTGGCGATACTTATTTTGTAATACTGCCTCTAAAAACAGCGAGCTAATGTTTTGTTTTCTTTTCCTCCTTAGAGTTTTAGATGCATCTTTTTCATACGTTTTTCTTCTTAAGACTATAATTTTTGCAATTAGTTGACTGCTCCGCATTCATTTTAAAACTGATGAATTTCTCTTGCTTTCTACTTCTTTTTTTTTTACCTTAATTTTATTGCAGTTCTTTTCTTTCCGTATCATTCTTGGCCTGCCTAGACTAGCTACAGCTATTTGAGGTGCCAGGACACTTGTAAAAATATTCTTTAGAAAATTTATGATAAAGTCTTATTTATAATAATAAAGTCTGGATTGCGCAAACCGTGCAATTCCGGAATCCTGGGCTTTAGAATTTTAATGACTCAAAGTGACTGAGATAAGCAAAACTCGTTTTAAAAGGAGAGAATAGGGTTCCTCAGGCTCCTTTGAATTTTTGAATGTAAAATGTGGTAATCGCTCTATTGTTTTTTCAAGTACTAAACAAATGGAAGACATAGACATTGTTAATTAAATTAAAACTGAAATATGTGTCCACAACACAACGCAAAAACAAAATGAACTTTATTTATGGTCTTGTAATTTTTAATTTTGCCGAGCAGACACACGAAAATGGGTAAGAACTATAAGTAGCTACTTTAAAATTCCATTTATGGAGCCAAACTCCTCTCCAACAAAGGCAAATTATACATCACAAGAAAGGAAATTTCCCGTAGTTTTCAATTCTAGCGGTGCATTTATAATGAGGGCATGCACAGACGAGATTTTGCTTTAGGTCCCTCGTGTGTTCGTCGTGCTGCGTGGGAAATTGGCTTCAACTAGTCAAAAACACCACCAAGATCTGGGTATAATAATACGTCATCAGTGTGAAAATTCTGCGCTCGTTTTTCAGTCGTCCTTTCGCGGGGAAAGCAGTGGTGGCGCCGATGAATGTCGGCTGTTTTCTCGCGCTACCTAAATTCCTGCTTCATGACAGGCTATAGTTTGCCAGTACCGACAGGTTGATTTTTTGGGTTCTTTATTTCTCGGCCATTGTCCTTGAAACGACGATTCCCTTTCAATAAAGAATTGATTGCGAGGGACTTTACGCTCAATCAAACTCGGAAAAACGATAACATTTTTTCGGTGAGAGGGAATAAAGTTATCACCGCGTAAAAGTACTTGGTCTGAACGTGTCTTCTAATGTGCTTCAATTGATCGCCCCAATTTGTTGTAAGGGAATCCAAGTCAGTCTTGAATTCTGAATTCCAAGCTGTGGATTCTGGATGCTAGATACGGATTTCCGGTCCTTGTCATTGGAACTTGAATTCCGGGTTCCTTGAGTTGTATTCCGGATTCAAAAGCCTAGGATTCAGGATTCCACAAGGAAAATTTTCCATATTCTGGAACCAATATTCGCTTAATTAGGGCAAAATTAATGGCTGCGATTGCCTTTATTACTGGGTGTAGTCAGAATTCAAAGGGTCAGAATGGGTGTACCCAAGAAGGACTTACAAAAGATTGACAGTATATTTCGCAATGAAAAGACAGTACGATAATCACGTGAGGCAATGTCAATGGCGATGAAATCTTTTAATCTCCAAATACATTATAGTTACCGCTGGATGTTCTGATTAGAAAAAAACTAATACTGCACCTATTCTACTTACTTTGTAATTCTGCAATTTCTACAGTTACAATTTAAAAAATAGAAAAACCAAAACATAATTCATAAACCATTATGACCTCGCCGTTCCTACTTGCCAACATCGGGCATTAGCGAGCTTACTTGACAGGATGGCAGAATGGAAGAGAACGGAAAACTTTCGGGCGTGACAAAAGTGGCAGGGCTATAACGTACGTCTTTGTCGTAATCGGGTGTCAGAAAAACTCGGGGTCGGGCCGGGGTCGGGGACAGGATCTATCTTTTTTTAAATAATGCTGTTTTAAGGTGAGGGTTAAAGTTAGGGTGGCGCCGACACCGACCCCGACCCCTCGTTTTACTGACACCCGTCGTGATGTTCACAAACAAAACATCTGTTTAAAAAACGGGGAAATTTGGCGAAGAGCGTTTTGAAACAAAACCATTCGACGCTTGTCACACACGGTTTGCTGTCTTCTTTACTCCGCCGTTCTCTTGAGTAAGTTCACTATTAAGCGCTCTACGATCCTCATTAATTCACATGACTTCTAATCAGGTGATTCTTAGGTGAGTGAAAGCAAACGACCAGTCATCGCCATAATGAAACAATAGTACGTATCGACAAGCCATGAGTGTGGTTTAATAACGAAAATTTCTTAATCACTAGCAACGATTATGCTACACTTAGACACGCTCAACAAATCTAAACGACTCTATCATACGCAAATAAGAAATCTTTCATTTTCGTGATGGTTTGACGCAACTTTGAATCTCTTAGTACTAGTGGCACTAATGTTTAAGTATGCAACAGCCGTGAGAGACATTCACGAGATTTAAACGTTTTACAAACATCTGCAATTGTCATATCTTATAAATTGAACATCAGCAGACACAATCTCGGTCATAATCATAATTGCTGGAAGGCTACCTTACAGATCTCTCCCCCTAACCTCACCCTCCCCCCCTCCCCACGCCCCTTCCCACTCCCTCCATCTTTCCATCTGTGTTATTAGGGGAAGGAGATAGAAGCAACACGTGTACCCTCTCTCATGTGTTTCCTTAAAAGTTTCAAGTAATTATGACCGGGATTGAAAGTAAAGTAAAAAGAAAAAACATATGTTATTTTTACGTTTACAGTACTATTTTAAACCCCGATCGCACCTCACAGATACATGTTAGACTCGAGATGCGATCATAAAATTGCTTCAAGATGGTAGCAAAGTCAGTCACTTGACTTCAAAGGCTCGTCCTGCGCAGCCCCGTTTGTTCCAGTTTCATTTTTCTCAGACAAACCTGTTGGATGAATTTAGAAGATATCATTTTAATACAACTGTCAAAAATTTATATTGCTACGCCTTATCTTGAACAAAACACAAATCTCCCAACCTTGTGGAAAGAAAATAAAGGTGAGGCAACTCTAGCTACACTGTACACTGTGCCCCAAACCCATCTATAATAAGAACAAAATATTTCGGAATTATTCCTCGGACTCTAGCTACAATGTGCACTGTTCCCCAAAATTCATCTACAACATAAAGAAAATATTTCAGAATTATTCCTCAGGTCGTGATTTAAAGCTTTATCCCGTTACAAACTCAAAAATGTTTTAAATGCTTTCCATGTCATACGTTTTCTTATATGTTTAAGAATCTGCACCTAAAGATAGTTTTCTAATTACATTTTGAGGTATAAGCCAGCACTTAATAGATTAACCTAACTAATTGTTCGCAAGCATTATATAATTAAATTCAATCTATCTGTGCAATTATACAATCAAATTACGTCGATAAACACGCTATACTTAGGCTGAAGAGCTACAACAGCGGTCAAATCAAAGTAATGACTTCCATTTTCTACTTTTTTATTAAATAAATCAATAAATCGACAATAAAAAACGATTTACAGGTAGCACATCCACATTCCTGGTGCAATTGGACTTTGGAAATGTTGGTTTTCGATCCAGAGAGGGGAAAGCCGGAGTATATGTACCAAGGAAAAACGTCTTGGAGCAAAGGAGAGAACCTCATATGGCTACGATGCCGAGATTTAAACTCGGGTCACATTGGTGAAAGATGGGTGCTCTCACCACTGCGTCATCCCTCGATCCCCTTCCTTTCTATATATATATATATAAAATATATGTATATATTTATGTATATGATCTTACTGTTATCGATCTCATCGTCCTCCTCGTCCTCTTTACATCTTAGAAAATCTTTTCCAACAACCTCTTCATCGGAGAGTTCCAACCGATTTGTTTCCTTGTTATATACAACGCGGCAGCACTTGAACAGGATTGGTCCTCGAGAGTTCGGCCTCGTTGCTATATTTGGAGGAATTTCAATCGTCTTGCATGTTTCTTTCACCCCTGGAGGATTTACTTCTGCCTCTCCTTCCATCTTCAAAACCAATGTTCAAATAAGTAGATAGAGTAGTACTTTGTCCACCGAATGGAGGCATTAATGTAAACTGAGGATTACTTTTTGGCTATAGTAATGCATCTTTCCGGATCTTAAACTTTTATTTCTTATCAAGAGACCACCGTAATTCACACTCTGCCATACTCAATCTACAACAGTACAGCCCATCACAAGAAAAGAAACTTGTAGCTTCAAGAACGTGCAAGATCGCTTATTTATAAGTAAAAATGAAATTAAACACAAAGTAGTTTTGTGTATACACTTTTATTTTGTTAGAAATCGTCTCCTTTTCTCTTCTCCCTTATTCATCACTTTAATATCAGATATGATTGAAAGTGGTATAGTAGTGATGAAATTAACCGCTTTTGCGCAGCTATCTCATTGACTTGTGCAATAATACATGAACACCTACGCATTATTGACTCTCTGTCGATCCCGCATTTATTCATTAGAGAAAAGACAAACGCCTATGAAATTAACTTTGTCCTTGATGTTTTGCGTAAGATAATGAGATTTCTACGCAAAAAGGTTACCGTATTAATTTCATCACTACTTTACTACTATGAAATAGTTTTCCGACAGTAAAATACCTTGTTCCTTCTCTTGCCTTTAACTTCAAATCGCTCACTGAAAATTACTGAGATTATCAAGCTCAGTTGTTGGCCTTCGAAAGCACCTGTTTTTTCGTTGTCTATATCTGTTTTAGCCAATATTTCACGTAGGTCCGGATCACGTATGTATTCCTGATCAATTCTTCCCAACACTAGGGATCCCAGATCTTCACTTATCGTGATCCCTTTCCTGCCAAAATTATCAGCGTCTCCCCCAATTTCTACCGAGCTGAATTAAAGAACTCAAATTAGTATTCGCGTGAGATTTTAGAGGCTGGTGAAACATGAAAAACTGGTTAGTACTGCACTACTGGGTAAAAAAGAAATAACCGAAAATTCCTTGAATGGGCGGAGATTATCAAGAGAGGTGATATTTCTGTCAGTGGACCAGATAGTTTCTACAATATTTCTTTTCATTGCAGTAACCTAGTAGTGATTTCAGTTTCTCAGATTTTACATTGAGTATTTTTTTTTGGATAACACAGTCGCTTTGACCTTTCCTACCGAGTTATCTAAGAAGAACGAAGTAGACTGATCAACTCGCAAGGTACCCCAAATCTGATCAGAGCATAAAAACGTTTTTTTTTATATAAACCATGCGTAATGTTTCATTACTGTCAATTTAATATTTACCTTCCAGCTCCTTTATCATCTTCATTTTCACCCTCTTGTAATACCCCGCAGTCTTCTTTTACGATGTGTTTCTTCATAATGGCCTCAAATTCTTCAGCGTTTTCCTCAGCTGCGTACCTTCCTAATTCCGTAAGAACGGTGTACCTCTGCGGTTTGCCTCCACATTCTCGATCGGATGTGGTAGGTTTCTTTACTACAAGCGTAAGTAACTTTATATCTTGGGTTCGGCCATGGACAACAGGGAAATAGCTTCCTTCGTGATCACCAAAATTTTCCTTCGCGAATTCACGTAGCAACTTGTCAATCAACTGAATGCAAAATATATAAAACCTCTGTTACTCCGTATGATTAGCGTAATGACTAAGTCAACTGAAAAGATTTACGAGTCACGTTATCGAACTGTTTCAATCTTACGAATACGTGCATGAATCTTATCAAAGTCGCCGATGTGTGCCTCTTCCCAACAAACGTGCGTTCTCACATTTGGAGCACAATGCATTCCAAAAGTCTTCCTCGCGAGTTTCACGGCAGAAAGGAGTCATAAAGCGAGCTGGAGGGGAGCGATATTAAGTAAAAAAAGACTAGCCTATGGGATAGGGTGAGCAAGTATACATGCAAGCGGTACGTTTCCTGTGCACCCGAATTCTCTACTCCGCTTTCGAACGCCTGTCAATCAAGCGTTCATCAACAAGGCATCTGGTACCATAATAATTGGCAAAAAGTCATGTATGACTTCCCCGTTACGTTTATTACAATAAAATCCCTTCCCACGTGTAAGAACTTGCATTTTTGGACTTCTGGCGAAATAGGTTCCTGTATTTTTAAGTAGTGATTCCCAATTCAGCCCAAGAAGATTAATTCTTAAATTCGGTTTCTATTTTCTGTGAAGGAAATATAAGACTGCTATAAAATTTCCAATCTCAAAGTCAAACTTCGTGGTTAAAATGTTTGTCATAATTTGACTGTATGCCACAAAAAAGAGCTTGCTTGATCTTGCTTGGCTAAACAGGTACAGCTCATAAAATGTTTTTAACTTAGTATTTTGGTTGTTAAAATAGCAAATGTCTGACAGCTTAAACCACCAGGTTCTTACTAGTAATATCAATATTATGCGTATATAAAATATACCGTTCATCACCGAAACCGAACACACGTGAATCAAAGAGTAAAAAACTGAAAAAAAAAGGCAAGCAACCTAATACAACTTAACCTTTTTGTGGCAAGACTCTGGATTCCTGAATCAGAGAACATATCATATTCAACTTACCGCCATAACACTTCAAGCTTGTCTGTGTGTGTTCAGTCCTCTAAATATAAGATATGGGAAAGAAACTGATCAGGAATGAAAACTGAAAACCATATGCTTCTATAATTGTTTAGGTTTGTCTTCCTCAGTTATCCTGAATTTTCAATATCTTGGAGAAACGGCTCTAAGATTTGATGTTGACATTTAAAAAAGAGGTGATTTCAATCCTTTCGTCGTTTTATCTTATTGGTCAACCTCGAGATCCGATCGAGAGGATCTGGACATTCGTTTGTCCTTTTTATTGGGGGGGAGGGAGGGTTAGGGGGGCTTTATATCTCATAATTCCAAATCAACAGTCTTCAAACACAAGCCCAGGTTTGATTGTAAGAAAGGAAAAGAGGGCCAAATAAACCGCTGATTAATATGCGAAGTGCTTTAAGTATTAGTACTACAGGGAAATAAATCAAATTTCTTTCCATTACATTTTAATGTGTAAACCCTGGCATTTTAGTACGACGCGACGCCTTCGTTGTTGGTGCTCTTAAACATGTCGCCCTAAAAAAACGGTTTTAGGACACTAAAAAAATGTTCGCTCTCAATTCAGTTCTCAAGGCCTTTCTCAAGGCCGGAAGCGGTTAACATTTATTCCAGACCTGAGTATTGCTGCTATTTCTTGCCATAATTGGGCTCTTCCCTCTAATCACCCTAAACTCGTACACTCCAAATGGATTTAGTTCTTTGCATTTTACAGTGTTTGTTACTAATTCCCTTTTTTTAAAAACTCCCCTTCTCTTTAACAGTAGCGATACTTCGCCCAGTATTTTCCTCAGTAAGTTTGTTGCCTGACCAAACGATACTTTGTATGGAAGTTTCTGCTTTTGCCCCTTTGTATGCTCCGCAAAGAACGTTTACAAATTGGGTAAGTTTACCGTGCAGAAACATTCTCTTTTACTCTTTCACTGCACGGCTATAGTTTGTTTTCTGTTAATTTAGCACTCATATCAGTCTCTAACACCTAAATATCGATTTCCGCCAGTTTCGTATGCCTTGAATTTTTGGAGTTTTTCTTTTACTTAGATTAAGAAAAGGAGTTTTGAGGGAGGTTTTCAGTCACCTTACCTTGCAAGAGAAATGAATTTTTATGATTTAATCCGGTATTCAGTCTCCCTGCAGCTTAAGTAGCTGAATCCCTTCGAGCTATTACTCAACAGTCAGCCTCGTTTCAGACCCTTTTATTTACTTCGCCGAGTCCCATTAAATATTTGTTTATCATCTCGCCATGTGCACAATTCTGGAAGCTGATTGGCTGAGCAAAGTGTGGTAACTGCGGATAACCCGAGAATTTTTATGGCTAATGACTTTTATCCCTACCGGCCTTTTTAAGTAATGATGTGTTTCACAACTTTTTTGTATCATGATGATGATAATGTAAGGATATGGTTGTTTTCTCTTTGTCAGTTAAAGTTTTAAAATTTAAAAGGACAAAAAAAGGCTCGGCTCAGTAGATTTTTTTTACCACTCAATGCAATGGTTATATTCAGTAGATGAAAAAATGTTTAAGTTTAGTAACTTACGCAGAAAAACAAAACGTACCCTTTATAGAGTTAAACTCGAAAACAGCATAAATATATAGATATGATTGATTAAACTGCGTATGCGTTGGCACCAATCACACTCGATGCATCATGACACAGTTTTAGGAGACGATAACATTATAAAAAAGAGTCATGCTACGCAAACCGAAATAGCCAGCAAACCGTTTGATCGGTTTCGTAGCCTATATTTACATTTTCTCCTTTATACATACAACTTGTTCGAATGTGAAATGTTATTAGCAACACTAAAGCTTTTTTTAGATATCCTAAGCCCATAGACTAGATGGAAAGGTTGGCATTCGTTTAACTTTTTTTGTTCATATTAAAATCAGCCTTACTAGCCTCGTTCTTGAGTTAAAAAGTCACAGGAATACCCGTCATCTCGAGCGAGGTCAGTGCGACTAATTTTAATTTCAGCTAAAGAACGCTCTCCCTACGCAGAGGCTCCCGCTGGATAAAAATAGCAATAACCGAAAAAATAGAAAGCGCTATATTTTCCTTTCTCCTCAGCCTCTTCACAACACAGAGAGGCCTTTGCGGAGGAGAGAGGCTAAAGAATATTAGTAAAATTTAATTGTCTATTAACAATGCTGCGTTCTGATTGGTTGAGCTATCTACTAGGCTATCTGTTATAGCCCTCTAGTAGCGAAAAGCGCCGGCTTTGAAAACCAAAACAATGGCGGCTGAATCGCGTTTAGCTAGCTAAAATGTTTTTGTCTCCATATTTTTGACCAAATAGTTGGATTTTACTAAAACAATTATTCCTCTCACCCTCATGGCCTCTGAGTTAATAGCCCATTCGGCCTTCGGCCTCATGGGCTATTGACTCAGAGCCCATTCGGGCTTGAGAAATAATTGTTAATTATTCCAGCGGTCATTTTTAAATTGGGTCTATGGTCCGAAAATAGCAGTCTAAGGGTGGTCTCGTGGTTTTTAATTGCATTACCTCTCACCGGCTTTACAGTCTTCACTCTGAGTTCTAGTTATGCCAATAACCCATGCGTACATATACATATCGCACTTGTGTATTTCATGGCATAAAGTACTTACCCACTTTCTCTTAATCGTTGATAAAAGTTATGACCAGTTTCAGTCAAAATAACCTTAAGTTATTTACTGTGATCTTCTCCCCACCCCCCCCCCCAATCCTTGTCCGTCTTTATCTTCAGAGCCTCTTGTATCTCTTAAACCATCAGAAAAGTAGCCAGTCATAAAATGGTGTTGAGGTACTAAGGCAGACCATTTAATAGACTATCATGGTAGTCTATTTAGCTACTAAATAGGCAGTGAAAAAAAAAGAAGACTAGTTCATTTGTTTAGGAGTGTGTACGTCATGAAGTTAACTGGTCATCGAACCACGCTCCCAAATTCCGCACAATCCTCACTTTGGATACATCACGATACCCTGATGGCGTTAAGCATATCTTTGTCGGAGTAAATTAAATGCTTGACGTCCCTGATACATCATCATCTAAGCACGGCTTAGCTTAAAAGATAAACAAAGCTGAGAGTTATCAACATAACTATGAAAATCTCCAATGATATTTAATTTGCAGATTATCATCATCATCGTGTCTCACCTCCATAACCGACTGTCATTTCCAGCTGTTGTTTCAGGTAATGTCCTTCGGCTACGAGATAACGATTACTACCAGAACCGCCTCTACGAATACCGTCGACCGTGGCGGATGTGATGTTATGTCATTTAAGTGAAATGAGAGAGAGTTGGGCGATTTGTGCTGAGGGTTTTAAAACAGTCGGCCTATTCATATAAGACAGTTTTAATGACGTTCAAATGTTTTAATCTTTATGTAACTATCGCTTTAGATTCTTAAAAAAGTAGGATTTTGCGCTTTCTACAGCTACCAATTAATCAAATAAAAATACTTCATAAAAAGATGTGTAAGACAACAAAACTTCCACACGGCGGAACATAATGTAGTTTTAAAAAACTGTACATGTTGTGGTTCCATTTATTTCCATTTGTTTTTGGGCATGGTAACAGGGGCACCCAACGACAATTTTCGGAAAAATATCTGTTCGGAAGACAATTTGAGATCTAGAATTTTCAGAACATTTGTTGTAAAGTTTATTGCTTGCCTGCCTCTCTTAGGATTTTCGAACATCTAAGAAATGGTAAAATTGCCCATTTTCAGCGGATTTTTACCCTAAAAAGGTCACCTAGAATTTTCCGGAGCCTTTTTTCTGGCTGAAATTTTCGAACAGGTAAGTTTTGATCCCTATAATTTTCAGATCACTAGATTTTCAGCTAGGAAATCCGAACAGATGAAAAATTTATAGGGGATAAAAATATGCCCTTATCCACTGTTTAAATACTTAAACACGTTTAACAATGCTATGTTTAAGTGGTTTTGAACTATATTCTCGTTGGGTGCCCCTGATGGTAATGCATGATAATGGGTTTAAACAAAAAAAAAGTAAACCAAATATAAAAATGGACCACAAAATATACAAATTGTCTGGAGCAAAGCTGGTAAAGTGACTTTAGGAAGCTTGCTCGCAGTTTACTTAACCCAGTAAGTACAGTCAATTCTCGCTATAACAGAGACCCCGTCACTGAAGGACAAGAGAACACTAGCATTGGAAGGTTAACGCTTCCCTGTGTTAATGAGTTTCAAGCTCACTCTTCTTCTGCAACTCTTACGACTGCTTATATTGTCTCCTGACTAATGTTCATCCATTCCATTAAAATACTTAACGCACACGAGGTACTACAGTCAGCCTAAATATAAAATCTATGTTACCCATTTTAAGAAGTTTCCAAAGACATATCATGCGCCGCGCCATCCCGGACTGTTTCTATAAAAGGACACCAACGCACGGTCAAATAGGGTGACCATAATAAAGGGAGTTGACTCTAGTTAATCCTGCGTGATAAACGAAACTAAAACCTTTTGTTACGTCCTTGTTTTGAGCCCCTAGCTGTGTACCGGGATTTGAGTACACTCTATTATTGGCAAGTTGAATATGCCATTATCGATTCGCCAATCAGGTTAAAGGGAAATTCGAAACACACTTCTAGTAATTTCTTCGATTCGTCAGGAAATCTTGGCTGCAAGAAAGAAAGGTGGACCTTAAAACACGATAATATCTCATGTAAGGCCCTGTCCACAAGTATCCTTTTTGATTTGAAAACGCAATTTTTTCTTTACGAATACGGCTTCCGTCCACACGTATCCGATGAAAACGATCAATGACAACGGAACTTTTCGAAAACGCTGAGGTCACACTATCAGCTCCAATCCACTCCGCGCAATATTAGGAACTTATTCAAGATGGCGTTTTACTTGGGCTTATTTCTAACCTAGTAGCTTGTTTTCAAGCAAATTTAGCTTTGTTAATTATTCAAGCTGACTATTCCAGGAGGCGACAGAACATTGTCGGGTTACTTTCGCTACCGGTGTCAAGAGGCATATGCGTCAAGCATGCGCAGTCGGGTAAGTTATCGTTTTCAAATCGATTTATGTTATACGTTTGGACGGAAGAAAACGATGCGAAAACGCTACGAATACGTGCGGACAGGGCCTAAATTTTACCGTAGTTGTAATTAATAAAAGCTGATGACAAGACTTTAAACAGCCATTTGAAGTTTTTGAACACATACCCACAGGTATTAACTTCACTGTTGGTGTAACTTCCTAGAAAAGTACAGAAATTCTTGGCAGGGGGGTTTTGGTTATAAAACTTTAAACTAATACAATATACATATTTTGCAAACATAAAACCTACAGAGCTCAAAATTTTAACATAACAGACATTTGTCTCGGTAATTTAGCTCCCGTTACAATGCATTTATCTAATGTACTCTCCGAGGGCCTATACAGTAATTATTAAAAGGGCTTTTTTAACGTTTGCCTCACTGTTGTCTCTTATTGATCACGACGTTTCGATTGCTTACTGCTAGTCCTCTTCATCAAGCGATGGTGTCGATTTTTCTACTAACGTACCTCCAAACTACTCACTAAGATTTAGAAGTACGCCTCAACACAAGCTGCCATTACAGAATTAAGGGGCAAAACGAACCCCCAAGAGAAGCAAAAAAATTGACAATGCAAAGGATAGAAATTAACAACCACGGTTGAGATTCGAAACTCAATCACTAGCAGCCACGGTGCCACTAATAGTACCTCACAGCAAATATGCATTAAAGCGTAATTGAAACCAGCAGTAAGCGATCGAAACGTCCCGATCAATAAAGGCCGTTAGATTCTGAGACGAGTGAGACTACAGGTACGAGTTTTTAGTGCACGCACATGAACCAAAGTCATTTTGGCGTGAAAACGTGATAGCCGTAGTCATCCTACTACGAATTTTGGCGAGAATATCGAAGTGGCGGAAACAAGTTGACAAATGTTAGAATTTTTATCATTTTAGGATAGGGAGATGGATTAATCTCCTTCAGTAAAATAATAATGCCAAATAATTTGGTGGAGAAAAGCACAATGAAACTTTCCGAGGTATCTATTTCTTTGAGAAGACGAGAAAAAAACTTGAAGTTAAATCTGGTCCTCGTAGTCGTCCTCGTCCTCGAATCTAAGGGTCTCTAATAACTACTAAGTATTCTGGTAATAAAATTGATAAACGAGCCATGTATAATGCACAAATCAAGATTATTTCATTGTAATTATAATATCATAGGTGACGAATTACTCCTTAATTTTGGCGCGAAATTTGAGCATTAATTTGTAATTTCACATGTGAAATGGAAACCTTCCGCACATCTCAGTGAAAAGATGGCGACGAAGTTTTAAAATGTTATGGATGAAGATGTCACGGGCATTAAAAGACGCTTTAGAAAACCTACACACACGAAAAAGCACATCATTTCTGAACTTAAGGCAAAATTTAAGATCTAAAGTTTTCAGTGCGCGGAGTTCTCAATCTATAATCAACGTGATAAATTTATCCAAAACCAACGATTGTGAGTGCAATTCGTCATCCATAATATCAACTGGTAATCAAAAGGCTCGGGAAATTATTTGGATTTGGACAAAACACGCGTGAAATTCTTCCCTAATTTCACTCGTCACCATTTGATTACAAGTACTAACTTGTGGAAATTTTGAGTCTCCGTAGGAGTACTGATACTTTGAAAACAAAAACCTCACCACTGATGCTCCAAGTTTAGAGCGTTTTCATATGTGATAGCTTTCGCTTGTATTAAATGTTTTACCAAAATTTACGATACAACTGAAAAAATCCCCTTACTGGGGTAATGATTGGAAACCACGTGATCTTCCAATTAAAGGACTATTTCAAATATTTGTCACATCTCGCAACTACAACATTGACTCGTGTGATGCAAACTCAAATTGCTCCTGAAAACAATCAGCTACTTCTTTTGTTTTACTCCGAAGGCTCTCCCTGCTCGGCCCAGGCTTTCTCAATTTCATCCCAGGTTTCCTCCGACAAATCTGTTGAGTGCATCGAGAAAGAAAACTTAATCTGCAATTCAGTAACTTCAGATATTGCTACAGTCCAGTATTAAACAAAACTCAAATCCCCCTCACCCTGCGAAGACTGTAACCATCTCTTGAACTTCATCTGTGATCCGAAATCAATTTATTTCAAAGAAATGATTATAATTTATTATTCCTGGACCTTAAAATCTTAGATAAAAATCCTACCTCAGTTACCATCAAAATAAATTCACTTATAAAACTCTTTCGTCGACCATTGTACCATTACTTCAGATTGCGGCTAACTGGATGTGATCGTAATATTCTTTCTTAATTCTTTATAAGATGGCCTTTCATAGCCTTTTGTCTGAATTGCGATAAGCTGATCCCCCATCGTATTTATAATCAGGATCAGTTATGTTAATTAGTGAAACAAATAGTAACGATGTTTTTTCCCTTAAATCTTCCTTCTTCACTTATCCTTCATCACAACAGTGGAAACGATAAGCGATCTTCAGATGAAACAAATAGTAACGATGTTTTTTCCCTTAAATCTTCCTTCTTCACTTATCCTTCATCACAACAGTGGAAACGATAAGCGATCTTCAGATGCAGTTTGAAAAAAATATCTTCTACTTTTTTAACGACATAAGTTCAGAAGAGTTCAGTGGTCCGTTTCTCCTGTTGATATGTGTCAAGTTTCATGTCTTACCAGAGAGAATCTTCAAAACAATTGCATATCCCTGAAGTTTTTCGTCGTTGAAAAAATTCGGGAAAGTCAGCGTTGAACTATTCTTAGTTGCAGGAACAAAAATGGTTCGTAGAAATTCACGGTCAACATCGGTGATGGGCTTGTCAAGTGACAACACTCTCTTTTCCGCTGGTAGCCTTGTTGACAGCGACAGCGCCTCAACAAACTGAAAAGTAATGAGTGAAAACGCCAGTTGTTAGTCTACTTATAGCGTATGCTAATCTAACGATCCCCTAGACAGCAATTAAAGCTCGGTACTCCCTCAATGTATTCCCAAGAAGTTGCATTTGCGATGTCTGACGAACGTTTCAGTCAGTGTTTCAGTTTTTGTCTAGTTCTAGATAGCATCCACTTAGCAGTCTCACTCTGAGTGAATACCAGTCTGTTGCAGACTTAAGCCCCCTGCTCAAAATAGTTTAAATCGTTTTGACGAACCTGCCTGCTGAGACCTGAACTGAAATTAGCTATAGAGGCTGGAATAGTTGACTATAATTTCGCCACAAATGCCTATTGAAAGCGTGTTAAGGGGGACGGCGCAAAGAAACCTTAGGACGGATGAAAATCTAGAGAGGGGTAGAATAGTGAAGTGCTCGAAAGAAGTGCGTTTCTTCTTTTAGTCTAAAATATGTTGCAATTAGACGTTCTTATATTTGCCTTTTCTTCGCATGAATAACTTATTTATAAAACCGCTTTTTTTTGCTTAAAGATATTTATATTTCATATCAAGTAAGTCATCTCGTACCCATGGCAACCGATTGTCAACAAAGTTTTCGCGAAACATTTTTCCTAGGAATGGTTTATAGAAAGCAGAATTGGCGAAACTCGTGCTTAAGAACATTTTGAAAAAAAAAATCGCCAAAAAATCATTTGGTTCGAGGTTTAAGAAAATTGATTTGAACGTGACTGATTATTTGCTGTAATTGTTCTTACCCACTTCAGGTACTTTTTGACCCGTTCTTTACGCTTCTCTCTGTTCTTGGTAGGTTTCAACACTGAATCCTTTATGTCCTCCAGTTTCGCAATATCGTCAGTTGTCAAAAAATCTACGATATAGAAAATATTTGAGTGTAGATTTGTTAAAGAGTGACTTTCCGTTGTTGGCAAAACACTTAATATTTCGAAAGGACTCACTAGTGGGACACAAATCTTATTTGTAATAACTGGCCTCATTTCGACAGTGTATTATTTTATCTTCTGACCTACTTGTACATGTACTTGTAAGTATGTAATGGAAGCTTCGCTTTTAGGCTTGGCTAATCACTAAAACATGCTAGTTTATCGCCTTTATTAATATTAATATTGTTATTTCATATCATGTAAAGAACGACTAAACATCAGCTTAATGCAGCTGTTAAAATTCTCTTCCTGAAAAACTGATATCCCCATTTTCCTCTGCAGCAAGACATTGGAAGCACCCAATCACTACATATTTTTTTTTTCGAATGTGAGAGAACGTGAGAAACCCAGAATTATATTTTGATCTAACCAGTCAAATTACTCTCCTCGTCCTCCTCCAAGCTAACTGCGGTGTTTTCGTACTCGGCCTCCTCCTCCTCTTTCCATTGCGGGATTCTAATACATCCACGTGCATAAACAAACTCTCGCTTGGGGAATTCCAGGCAGTTTGTCTCCTTGTTAAAGACAACACGGCAACACTGGAACAGGAATGGTCCTCGAGTATTCTTCCTTGTTGCTATATTTGGAGGAATGTCAATACTCCTGATGGTTTCCTTCAACTGAGCCAAGAAGGTCGAAAATTTGAATCCTGCGTCCACTTCCACCTTCGAATATAACACGATTAACTGAACATTTTTTTTCAATAGCCTTCAAGTTGCTTAAAAGTAAATCTTACGTTTCATTTCAGATCTGATTCAGCAGTTTTTGATGAAAGGGTACCATTAACTTTTCTCAAGGTTTTCCTTGCTATAGGTGCTTAGCAATATTCAATTAATTCTTTTCTTTATTACTTTGAATCATAAAAGAATAAAGTATGTGGTCCTCTGTCCGGACGAAAAGGACATAAATGAGTATATTTATCTTAGAAGACTGAGGAGTATTTGTCTTGTAAGTTGCCGTAACATTTTACTAACTTGTGACAAACCGACTGCTTCTGAGCTTTGCCGAAAATGCTGCATCATAGAAAATGACCGCTCCGTTTGAAGGCACCTGGTTCGGCCAGTAGTTCCTTGGTCCGGCCACTTGGCCTTTTTGTAAGCCGGCTTGCAAACAAGAAGCAAAAAGAAGCGTTCCAAGCACCAACTGATCTAAATTCCGTATATTTTCTGTAGGCATCATTTTAAACTCGAAACCAAATGAGATTTCTGTTTAAAGAGCTATAGTTTGGTCTCATGAAGAATTATTCACTTCTGTGCGAATGTACTTTGTAAGCTCGAGTTACATGTTCTTAGACTAGAAAACCTATGCTGACAATTTGGCTTGATCCTGGGTTAAACTTAATCATCTTTCGTGGAAGCGGGCCTGGGAAATTTTATGTCTTAAGGTGATCTTACACGGGACGATACGCAAAGACGATTTTTAGCGCAACACAGCGTTGCAATTTTGGAAAAATGTTGGAAATATTCAAAACAATGTCGCAACAATGTTGCAACGCTGTGTTGCGCTAAAAATGGTCGTTGCGAACTGTCTCGTGTAACATCATCTTTAGTCGTACAGCAACGGAAAAGAAATCCGGCGACCGAAAAGCGTGCATCATCATAAACGTGCAGTCCGTGCAGAGTAATGTTTTGCTCATTAAAAATCTAAAACTACCCATCGCTTGAATTTTTTGTCTTTGCTAAAGCTCCCTAATGAAACCGATCGGACGGATATAAGCTTCCTTTTTATGGCCTTCTATATCATTACTTAATAAATAAGGTGCAGTGCTACTGGGAAAGTCTCGAGCAATACATTTAAGTTGAACGCTTCATGCCGTTTTTATTATTTACTCCACTTATTGAGAGCGCTTTACTTAAAATGTGACTCAAAGTTGAAAGATCCTCACTTCAGTTCGCGAATCTTAATTTACTAAGAACTAAACGAAACGTTATCGTCCGGTGGGCGGACTCAAGGACTTACTATAGGAATATTATAGACAACTTTGGTTTTAAATTTCAACCTGTCGACCGAATTTTTTTGCAAGTCGAAAGAACAATTCTTTTCAATAAATAAATAATGATTTGGAGGTAGCACATCCAAAAAGTGGTTCTTCATCTACCTGATTCCCGGTCGAATTGGAATTTGGAAATGTTGTTTTTTGAGGAGAGGAAAAACCCGGAGTACCTGGAGAAAAACATTTCAAAGCAAAGGAGAGAGCCGACAACAAACTCAACCAACATATGGCGTCGACAGCGGGATTTGAACCCGGGCCACGTTGGTGGGAGGCGAGCGCTCTCACCACTGCGCCATCCCTTGCTCCCCGCCGTGTACACCAAAAATTAACTTTCTTAACGCACTTAATCGCATATGCGTGAATTCAAAATATATCCAAGTAATTTAACGCGCCATAAAAAAGACACAAACAACAAAACAAAATTCACCTAAGTTCGCGTTAACTTGATTTTCCAGCCTTCGCTAGCACCAGGAAAACCTCGAATCGAGCTTAAGGTAAACAGATCAATAAACACTGGGAAAGTTTCGTTTGTATTGTAACCTTATTTTCTTCCCGAAAATTACATCACAAAGTAAAACCGGCCGGACCAAGGACCACATACTGTAGTTATCGGAAGTTAAAATACCTCTTTCTTTATTTTGCCTTTAACTGCAAAGCATTGGCTGTAAATTACTGAGGTTATCAAACGCAGTTGTTGGCCTTCAAACACTCCTGTTTTATTACTATCCAGGACTGTTTTTTCCAATATTTTACTTAAGTCCGGGTCCTGTATGTACTCCTGATCAATTTTCCCTAGATGTAAGAATCCCAGATCTTTTTTCATTCTAATCCCTGCATTGACGCAGTCAGCAGCCTGGGTTTCCATTTCTACCATTCTGAATTACAAAAACACAAAATAATGGCATTTAGACGCCAATTCTGAAACTGCCTAAGTACAGGGAATTTTTTGACACGTTTACATGGAGGTAACTCTTTTTTATGATGATTATAAAGAATTAAGCATAATTCAAAGTAAGAAAATAGCAATAAATAATAAAAATGAACCTTCCCGAATCTACTAGCTGTAGTAACTAGCGCAGTTACATTGTTTTTAGATGTCACCGAGTTACAAAATCTAGCCTTTACTAGTCGGCTTCTTATACTTAATAACAATTTGAAATTTTGAAAGGCATTGAGGGCGTTGACCTGATAAAAAATCGTTATATTGAAATAAAAAAACAATAATGGGACATACAGGGAAAAAGGTGTTCACACAAAGAAAGACCAAACAAACGCTTGAAACCAATCGCATATCGGAAGTTGGTTTACCGGCCAGAACCTCAAACGTTTATTCAGTGTTATCAATGTGCGGAAGTCCCAGGAATTCAACTTCCGTTTAATTACAACCTCTAAAAATAACTTTGGTAAAATTCACATATCCTGCCCAACACCCTAAGATTCTCTCTCTGTCCCATTTTCCTTTCTTGTTATAAATGATTGATATAAAACTGTAACTGGAAGATAGTGCTATTACTTTTATTCATACTACTACATGAGAAAATTCTGCAATTTGATTGGCTTAGAGCAGTGGTATTTCAGCTTAATTCGAAATACCTACATGTGATCATAAAAATTACAAAACCTTTTGTGAGTAGTAGTATAAACAAATGATAGCATGATTTGTAGGTGTTATTTGGCACCAATACCAATATATATACCACTCGTGATATTTCAAAATTGTCTCAAATTTCACGTATAACAAATATCATTCGTGGTATTTAGGCCAATTATACTTCTACATCAGAAATTTCTGCAATTTGACTGGCTTAGAGCAGTGGTATTTCAGCTTAATTTGAAATACCTACATGTGAAATTATAAACCCTTTGAACGTGGTAGTATGCACAAATAATAGCATAATTTGTACATGATATTTGGCAAAAATACTACTCGTAATGTTTCAAAATTGTCTCAAATATCACTCGCCTAACGGCTCGTGAAATTACGTATAACAATTTCGACATATCGCTCGTGGTATTTATGCCAAATATCACCACAAATCATGCTATTAGAAAGATTTGTAGTGATATGTATACTAGGTATTACCTAGCATGCATACTCACTAGAAATCATGCTTTTTCCTATACATATCACTACAAATCATCCTATTATCTATACAAATTCTTCGGCGTTATGTAGCAGCGATGTAATTTACCTTGCAGCTCCTGTACCATCCTCCTCATCTAGTCTTATTCCAGGATCTTCTTTCTTAACAAATTTGTTCTTCAAGGCTTCAAATTCTTCTTTGCCGTTCTCAACTACAAACTTTTCCATTCCTGCAAGAATTGTGTACTTATGGTGTTTAAATGGACGTTCCAGGACAGACCCCCGAGGTTGCTTTGTCATCAGGGTAAACAACTTTATATCTTGGGTACGACCTTGGACAATAGGACAATAGTTTCCATCAGCAAAATGTTCCTTCCAGAATTCTCGTAGCAAGTCTTCAACCAGCTTAAATGTATAAAGATAAAGAAAAAATGATGTTTGGCCCTGCATAATAAAAACTGAAATGAAGGAGTTAGATAAATATCTTCTCAAATTCATTAATAATTCACGAAGAAAATACAATTGAAAGCAAATTAATGTTTATTGAGTGTTTGGAAATCAGATGAAAAACTGCTCAGTTTTGCATCCTTAATTTCTCCCTCTATAATCATTTTGTCTGAGAAGTAATATCAAGCAGTCGACACAGTGTTTCATCACCAAATGAAACACCTCAAACTGCGCGTCGTATTTTCAGTTTTCCTCTGAGGATGAAACACTGCATCTCATGCTTGATATATTACGTCAAGACGCAGCCGACCTCAATTGATTTTCGTCTTTACCTTTCAAAAAAAGGTAATGGTAAAGACTCCTTCTTCTACGTCGGTAACTCGAAATAGTCATCCGCCTAACGTTTACAGTGTACCCGAATTCTCTTCACCGCTTTCGAACGCCTGTCAATCAAGCGTTCATCAACAAGGCAAGAAGTGATTTGCAATTCAGCCTACGAGGATTAATTCTTAAATTCGGTTTGTATTTTCTTATATAAGACTGCTATAAAATTTCCAATCTCAAGGTCAAACTCCGTGGTTAAAATGTTTATCATAATAGACCTTGTCACGGTTGTCGACGTCATCTTGACGAGTCGGCAAACGCGTGCGAAATTATAGTGTTTGTATGGGAATCTAATGTCGAATAATTTCCGTAGAACGGCTGTTCTGAAAAACATATGACTTGTAAACTAAAGCTTCACTCCTAAGGATTCAACTGAAACAAATTGAGGGCGTTACGTGCGCTAGGAGACCTAGAACTACTTTTTAAAATTTTCTATACATTTGTCTATAAGAAAGTCCGGCGAAAAATTACAGACAAGTATATTGAAAATCTAAAGCAAGCCTCTGGAAAAATTTAAGCACAGGTAGGTCCCAAAATTTTTTTTAGTACAATCCTTTGTTTTGTAGCTTTAATTTACAAGTCATATTTTTTTTTCAGAACAGCCGTTGAAATTATTTGACTTTAGATTCTCATACAAACAATGTAATTTCTCACATGTTTGCCTACTCGTCAAGATGGCGTCGAAAACCGTGACAAGGTCTATTTAACTGTATGTCACAAAAAAGAACTTTCTTGATCTTGCTTGGCTAAACAGGTACAGCTCTTATGTTAGTATTTTGGTTGTTAAAATAGCAAATTTCTGACAGCTTAGACCACCCGGGTTCTTACTATAGTAATATCAGTATTATGCGTATATAAAATATACTGTTCATCACCGAACACACGTGAATGAAAGAGTAAAAAAATGAAGAAAAGGACAAGCAACTTGAATATAAATTAACCTTTTTGTAGCAAGACTCTGGATTCAAGAATCAGGGAACATATTACATTCAACTTACCGCCATAATACTTCAAGCTTGTATGTGCGTGTTCAGTCCTCTAAAAATAAGATATTGAAAGAAACTGATCAGGAATGAAACTGAAAACCGTATGCTTCTATAATTGTTTACATCTGCCTTCCTCAGTTTTCCTGAACCTTCAATAGCTTGGAGAAACAGCTTTAAGATTTGACGTTGACATTTGAAAAAGAGGTAATTCCAATCCTTTCGTTGCTTTATCTTAGTGGTCAACCTTGAGATCCGATCGAGAGGATCTGGACATTCATTTGTCCTTTGTATTGGAGAGGTGGGGGGGCTATATATCTCATAATTTCCAAATCAACAGTCTTCAAACACAATCGAAGGTTTGATTGTAACAAAGGAAAAGAGGGCCAAATAAACCGTTAATTAATCAGTGCGAAGGGGGTTAGTATTAGTATGCAAGGGGAAAAAATCAAATTCCTTTCCTGGTGCATATTTATGTATCGCGTGTTGCATTTTAATGTGTAAACCCTGGAATTTTAGTTTGTTGTTTACGTTCTTAAACACGACACGACGCCTTCGCTGTTGGTGTTCTTAAACATATCGCCCTAACTCAGAAAAAAAGAGGTTTTAGGACATTAAAAAATACATTCGCTCTCAATTAAGTTCTCAAGGCCTTTCTCAAGGCCGGAAGCCGTTAACATTTATTCCAGACCTGAGTGTTGCTGCTATTTGTTGGCATAATTGGGCTCTTCCATCTAATCACCTTAAACTCGGACACTCCGGACGGATTTAGTTCTTTGCATTTTACAGTATTTGTTACTAATTCCATTTTTTGTTCTAACTCCTTGTCTTTAACAATAGCGATACTTCGCCCAGTATTTTCCTCAGTGAGTTTATTGCCTGACCAAACGATTCTTTCTATGGAAATTGAACTTTCTGCTTTTGCCCCTTTGTATTCTCTGCAAAGAACGTTTCCAAATTAGGGAAGGTTACCGTCCAGAAGAATTCTCTTTTACTCTTTCACTGCACGGCTATTGTTTGTTTTCTGTTAATTCAGCACTCATATCAGTCTCTAACACCTAAATATCGCCAATTTCGTATTCCTTGAATTTTTGGAGTTTGTCTTTTACTTATATTAACAAAAGGGGTTTTAAGGGAGGTTTTCAGTCACCTTACCTTGCAAGAGAAAATAATTTTTATGATGTAATCTGTTCAGTCCTTCCCCGCAGGTTAAGTAGCTGAATTCCTTCGAGCTATTACTCAACAGTCAGCCTCGTCTCAGACCCTTTTATTTACTTCCCTGAGTCTCATTAAATATGTGTTTATCATCTCGCCCTCTGGAAGCTGATTGGCTGAATAAAGTGTGATAAGTGCGGATAACCCTAGAATTTTTATGGCTAATGACTTTTATTCCTACCGGCCTTTTTAAGTAATGATGTGTTTCACAACCCTTTTTGTATCATGATGATGATAATGATGATGATAATGGAAGGATATGGTTGTTTACTCTCTGTCAGTTCAAGTTTTAAAATTTAAAAGGACAAAATAAGGCTCGGCTCAGTAGATTTTTTTACCACTCAATGCAATGTTTATATTCAGTACATGAAAAAATGTTACGCAGGAAAACAAAACGTACTCTTTATAGAGTTAAACTCGAAAACAGCATAAATATATAGATATGATTGATTAAACTGCGTATTCGTTAGCACCAATCACACTAGATGCATCATGACACAGTTTTAGAAGACGATACCATTATAAAAAAGAGTCATGTTACACAAACCGAAATAGCCAGCAAACCGTTTGATCGGTTTCGTAGCCTATATTTACATTTTCTCCTTTATACATACAACTTGTTCGAATGTGAAATGTTATTAGCAATACTAAAGCTTTTTTAGATATCCTAAGCTCCTAGACCATATGGAAAGGTTTTTTTGTTCATATTAAAATCAGTCTTACTAGCCTAGACACAGGAATACCAGTCATCTCGAGGGAGGTTAGTGCGACTAATTTTCATTTCAGCTAAAGATCTCTCTCCTCCTCAGAGGCTCCCGCTGGATAAAAATAGCAATAATCGAAAAAAAAAAAAAACAGAAAGCGCTCTCTTTTCCTTTCTCCCCAGCCTGCCCACAACACAAAGAGGCCTCCGCGGAGAAGAGATGCTAAAAAATATTAATTCCAGTGGCCATTTTTGACTTGGGTCTATGGTCCGAAAATAGCAGTCTAAAGGTGGTCTCGTGGTTTGTAATTGCATTAACTCTCACTGGGTTTGCAGTGTTCACTCTTAGTTCTTTCATGGCATAAAGTACTTACCCCCTTTCTCTTAGTTATTGATAACAGTTATGACCAGTTTCAGTCAAAATAACCTTAAGTTATCTTATCTTTGTGCCCAAGATTCTCTTTGGCCCCCTCCCTGTCCGTTTTTATCGCCAGAACCTCTTGTATCTCTTAAAGCATCAGAAAAGTAACCAATCCTAATAAAATGGTGTTGAGGTAGTTAAACAGACTGTATAATAGACTATCATGGTAGACTATTTAGCTACTAACAAAATAGTGAATAAAAGAAAGGACTAGTGCAGTTTTTTAGGAATGTGTACGTCATTAAGTTAACTGGTCATCGAATCACGCTCCCAAATTCCGCACAATCCTCTCTTTGGATACATCACGATACCCTGACGGCGCTGACAGCAGCCATTTTTTAATAGATACCGTGGTGCTATGCCTGGAAATACGTTTTTGACGTCGTTAAGCATAAGTTTGTCGGAGTAAATGAAATGCTTGACGTCCCTGATACATCATGATCTTAATTTCAAGAACAGCTAAGGTTAGAGGATAAACAAAGTTAAGAGTCATCAACATAACTATGAAAATCTCCAATGGTATTTAATTTGTAGATTATCATCATCATCATCGTGTCTCGCCTCCATAACCGACTGTCATTTCCAGCTGTTGTTTGCGGTAAACTCCTACGAGATTACGACCGTGGTTACTACCAGAACCGCCCATACGACTACCGTCGACGGCGATCGATGTGATGTGATGTTATTTAAGTGAAATGAGAGAGAGTTGGGTGATTTGTGCTGAGGATTTTAAAACAGTCGGCCGATCATATAAGACAATTTTAATGACGTTCAAATGTTTTAATATTTATGTAACTATCCCTGTAGATTCTCAAAAAGTAGGATTTTGAGCTTTCTACAGCTACCAATTAACAAATAAAAATACTTATAAAAAGATATAAAGTGTTAAATTATGTTCACAAGTCATAAGGCAACAAACTTCCACATGGGGGAACGTAATGTAGTTTAAAAAACTGTATATGTTGTGGTTCAATTTATGTCCATTTGTTTTTGGACATGGTAATGCATGATAATGGCTTTAAACAAAAAAAAATGAAACCAAAGATAAAAATGGACCACAACATATACAAATTGTCTGGAGCACAACTGGTAAAGTGACTTTTAAGAATTTTACTCGCAGTTTACTTAACCCAGTAAGTACAGTCAATTCCTGCTATCACAGAGGCCCTGTCACTGAAGGACAAGAGAACACTAGCATTGGAAGGTTAACGCTTCCCTGTGTTAATGAGTTTCAAGCTCCCTCTACTTCTCCAACTCTCACGACTGCTTATATTGTCTCCTGCCTAATGTTCATCCATTCCATTAAAATACTTAACGCACTAGAGGAACTACAGTCAGCCTAAATATAAAATCTATGTTACCAATTTATATAACAGATGTTTCCAAAGACATCAACGCGCCATCACGGACTGTTGCTATAAAAGGACACCAACGCACAGTCCGATAGGGTGACCATAATAAAGGGAGTTGACTGTAGTTAATCCTGCGACCGTGATAAACGAAACTAAAACCTTTTGTTTCGTCCTTTTTTTGAGTCCCTAGCTGTGTACCAGGATTTGAGTACACACTATTATTGGCAAGTTGAATATGCCGTTATCGATTCGCCAATCAGGTTAAAGGGAAATTCGAAACACACTTCTAGTAATTCCTTCACTTCGTCAGGAGTCCAGAACAAGGATCTTAGCGCTGCTTCACGGACTTTATTACGGACTTTATTACGTGTTCAAACAAGGAACGATAACTGTAGCTGGGTAATTTACTGGTAAAAGTGATAAAATAAAAAGCTTAAAATTACACAGAACATTTTTTTCTCCAAAACAACCATTAACCATGTTGCCCCCTGCTGGCTGTGGGAACACAAATAATCCGTCAGCAAAGTGAATCTTTATACAATCAAGATCTTCGAATATGGTTAATAAAAAACGAGCTAGGCTAGTAAATAATTGAAAATCCGGGTTGCAAGAAAGAAAGGCGGACCGTAAAACGCGAAAATATCTCATGTAAGGCCCTGTCCACAAGTATCCGTTTTGACTTGAAAACGCAACTTTTTCTTTACGGATACGGCTTCCGTCCACAAGTATCCGATGAAAACGATCAATGAAAATGGAACTTTTCGAAAACGCTCTCCAGAGTGGATCTTTTTGAAAACACTGTTTCCGCGTGTAAGTGTGGACAGACGAAAACGGAACTTTTCGAAAACGCTGAGGTCACACTATCAGCTCCAATCCACACCGCGCAATATTAGAAACTTATTCAAGATGGCGGACGGGCGCTTCCCTTTCTTGTCTTTTTTACTTGGGCTTATTTCTAACCTAGTTGCTTGATTTCAAGCAAATTTAGCTTTGTTAATTATTCAAGCTGACTATTCCAGGAGGCGGCAGAACATTGTCGGGTTACTTTCGCTACCGGTGTCAAGAGGCATATGCGTCAAGCATGCGCAGTCGGGTAAGTTATCGTTTTCAAATCGATGTATGTTATACGTTTGGACGGGCGAAAACGATGCAAAAACGCTAAGAATACGTGCGGACAGGGCCTAAATTTTACCCTAGTTGTAATTAATAAAAGCTGATGACAAGACTTTAAACAGCCATTTGAAGTTTTTGAACACATACCCACAGGTATTAACTTCACTGTTGGTGTAACTTCCTAGAAAAGTACAGAAATTCTTGGCAGGGGGGTTTTGGTTATAAAACTTTAAACTAATACAATATACATATTTTGCAAACATAAAACCTACAGAGCTCAAAATTCTAACATAACAGACATTTGTCTCGGTATTTTACCTCCCGTTACAAAGCAATTATCTAATGTACTCTCCGAGGGCCTATACCGTAATTATTAAAAGGACTTGTTTAACTTTTGTCTCACAATTGTCTCACAATTATTGATCACGACGTTTCGATCGCGTACTGGTAGCCCTCTTCATCAGGCGATGGTGTCGATTTTCCTACTTACGTTACTCACTAAGATTTCGAAGTACGCCTCAACACAATCTGTCATTACAGAATTAAGAGGCAAAACGAATCCCTGAGGGAAGCAAAAAAAATTGACAATGCAAAGGATAGAAATTAACAACCATGGTTGAGATTCGAAACTTAATCACTAGCAGCCACGGTGCCACTAATAGTACCTCACAGCAAATCTGCATTAACGCGTACTTGAGACCAGCAGCAAGCAGTCGAAACGTCCCGATCAATAAAGACCGTTAGATTCTAATACGAGTAAGACTAGTGGTATGAGTTTTTAGTGCACGCGCTTGAACCAAAGTCATTTTGGTGGGAAAACGTGATAGCCGTAGTCATCCTACTACGAATTTTGGCGAGAATGTCGAAGTGGCGGAAACAAGTTAATAAATGTTAGAATTTTTATCATTTTAGGATAGGGAGATAGATTAATCTCCTTCAGTAAAATAATAATGTCAAATAATTTGGTGGAGAAAAGCACGATGAAACTTTCCGAGGTATCTATTTCTTTGAGAAGACGAGAAAAAAACTTGAAGTTAAATCTGGTCCGCTTAGTCGTCCTCGTCCTCGAATCTAAGGGTCTCTAATAACTACTAAATATTCTGGTAATAAAATTGATAAACGAGCCATGTATAATGCACAAATCAAGATTCTTTCATTATAATGATAACATCATGGGTGACGAATTACTCCTTAATTTTGGCGCGAAATTTCGGCATTAATTTGTAATTTCACATGTGAAATGGAAACCTTCCGTTCATCTCAGTGAAAAGATGGCGACATAGTTTTAAAATGTTGTGAATGAAGATGTCACGGGCATTAAAAGACGCTTTAGAAAACCTAAACACAGGAAACAGCACATCAAGAAGGATTCTAACAGGTATTTTGTCGAAAAATTCTGAACTTGAGGCAAAATTTAATATCTGAAGTTTTCAGTGCGCGGAGTTCTCGATCGATAATC